CTGTCACTGTGATTAATGGGTGTTGTTAGCTGGTCTTTTTTGTGGCTGGGCATTCAATTTTCTGTAACTTTCCCTATCTCCTTGCATTTTGTTCCCTTCTCTTCTCTGCTATTTGTAAGGCCTCATTGGACAGCCACTTTGCTTTCTTGCATTTCCTTTTCTTTGGGATGGTTTTTGTTGCTGCCTCCTGTACAATGTTACGAGCCTCCATCCATAGTTCTTCAGGCACTCTGTCCACCAAATCTAGTTCCTTAAATCTGTTCTTCACTTCCACTGGGTCTTCATAAGGGATTTGGTTTAGATTATACCTGAGTAGCCCAGTGGTTTTCCCTACTTTCTTCAGTTTAAGGTTGAGTTTTGCTATAAGAAGCTGATGATCAGAGCCACAATCAGCTCCAGGTCTTGTTTTTGCTGACTGTACAGAGCTTCTCCATCTCTGGCTGCAGAGAACATAATCAGTCTGGTTTCGGTATTGCCCATCTGGTGATTTCCATGTGTAGAGTCACCTCTTGTGTTGGTTGTTGTGAGTTTTTCGGGCTCTTTGACGACCTCTGAAGATGCCCATGGCCACAGAGACTGTTGAAACGTCAGGAGGAACAACCTTCAGAACACTGCCAAAGAGCCCGAAATACCCACAACAACCATCAGATCCCGGCCGTGAAAGCCTTCGCCTCTTGTGTTGTTGCAAAAGAGTGTTTGTGATGACCAGCTTGTTCTTTTGACAAAACTCTCTTAGCCTTTGCTCTGCTTTGTTCTGAAGTGTTTATACAATATACTGTTAAATAGCGGGTTCAGGACTCCAGTTCATAAATCAGCATGCCTTTATTCAGCTCTTCTTAGCAATAAGATAAGGTGGAAGATGCCAAGTAAAACGCAGAGGTGCATTTTTACCATGCTTACCCAAGGAACTACCCCACTCCCACAAATTACTTCAAGCTGGTCAACAATTGAAACAGCACAGGCAACAACTGCTGCCACTGCTACACTCACAACATAACACATACATTCTTAGTTTTCATTTTAAACTGTCTCGTCATAGATGTGTCAAGGTGAGAAATATTCAGCTGGGGGTTTCCATTGCTGACTACTGCACAGTCCTAACCAGAGTTTGCTTAAGTGTCACTGCCATTGTTTCTGAAAGATCGTCCATGACTATAAACGTCTATCACTGCTGCTACTCAGTAACTGTCCTCCAGGACTTTCTCACCTCCCATCACCTTTGGAACTGCCCATTGTAGATTTTACTGCTGTAGAGGGTGGATTCCCTGACACACCCAAACCCCCTCAGCATGCTAAGGTCTACATCCAAAAAGAGGCATTGTACTTTGCACCAATAATGAGAAGGCATAACTTACTGGAAAAGACAATAATGCTGTGAAAAGTTGAAAGCAGCAGGAAAAGAATCCCAAATATGAAATACTATAGATTGAATCAGTAAAGGGAAACCATGGCCTTGAGTTTGCAAGAGTTAAGGTAGGGTTCTCAGTGCCCAGAGATCCTTTTAGAGGTCATTCATTCATTGTTGTTTTAGTTGCTTAGCATAGGCATCCTTCAGTCTCGAGAGACTATGGTAACATGCTCTGAATCGAGGAGTGTCCTCTCCAGAGCATGAAGCCCGGGTAAGGTAATATGGAGGATAGGCTGTTACCCAAGCAGCAGATCCCCCCTCTCCACATTGCTGAAATGGTCCAACGGAAAGGCAAGAGCCAATACAACTGGTTCCAGCAACGTCGCAGGAGTTGGCAGAACGACACATGCTGCCTTCTCTTCCACTGACTCCCGGAGTTGGGTCAAAGTCATGCTGGTCGCTTCGGTGACGCTGTCCAGCCATCTCATCCTCTGTCGTCCCCTTCTCCTCTTGCCTTCACACTTTCCCAACATCAGGATCTTTTCCAGGGAGTCTTCTCATGAGATGGCCAAAGGATTGGAGCCTCATTCATTCATAGGATTGCTTTAAGTCAGAGTTTACGTGGTGACACAGAACAGTAATGCATGCATTCTACTTCAGTAACCTGGTGAACAAGCTAGAAGCGCCAACACTTTGCCTAATAAGATAGGTGTGACAGTCTCATCCACACTGTTGTGCTTTGGAGCGATACAGCATACAGTATGTGGTCCAATGCAAAGAGGAGTGTTCGGAGCTCTACATTGGAGAAACCAAACAGCCACTAAACAGGAGAATGGCCCAGCACAGGGGAAGCCACGGCTCAGGACCAGAATCCGCGGTGTTCCTAGGGCATTCATTGGATGACCAGGATGTACTCATTTTGGACAGAGAAGATAGGTGGATTTAGAGAAGGGTCAGGGAGGCCATACATGTGATGTAAAAAATTCCTCACTCAACAGGTCGGGTGGTCTTATACAATCTGTCTCCCGTTTATCATGCTGTTCTTTCATCCATCCCCAGAAGGTAAAGATAAAGCTTCCCCTAGACAATTTGTCCAGTGTGTCCGACTCTAGGGGGCGGTGCTTGTTACATACAGCACTGATGTTACCTGCCTGTCATGGGTTGGAGGGAAAGTTCCATCCTATGGGGAGTGGAAGGCGGGACATCAGGAGGAGGGGCTGTACTGTATATATATGTGAAGCCTGTGTGGAGAAGTAGGGAGAAGCTGGAGAAGAGCTGAGAGAAGAAGCTTGAGTGGGAGTCTGTGTGTCAGACAGGGTACTACTGTGTGTCAGTCAGTACCAACCTGATAGGTTCAGGTGTCTGTAGGGTTAGCCAGAACTGATAGGTTCAGGGTCTGTGCTTTAGTTAAATGCGTTCTGTGTGAACCAAACTAGTGTATGTATGATTGAGACTAAGCCACGTTACTGTATCTTATTCATTTGATCATTTTATTTTCCCTGTGTGTTATGTAAATAAACCTTGTTCTTTTATTTGTTAAAAATCCATCCCTGGTCTGTGTGACTTCTTATAGGGAATGGTTGGTGGCAGCTTAGTGAAACTGTGGCATATCCCAGTAGGTCTGGG